ACGCGACCAAAAAATGTCTAGTGATAAAAATAACAATTCTCGATCCTCAACCCTAACGATTATCAATAATTTCTAAAATCCTGATATAAAACTTGTTATGGACCAGACTTTTTCTTAATTAAATTATCATATAATAAACTAATTGATCAAGTATATTCTTAGTATAAGGGATGATGATAAAAATACTTTATACTTGATAAATGTAGAAAAACATACAGTTACATGTTAATAAAAAAACTAAAAAAAACAGTATCAATATTATTTTTATTTTTTAATTAATTAAGTTGTTTATGATAAAAAAATCACTTTTATTAAGTCATTCTTGGATAAATAAAAATTTTCTAGCAATATCATAAACTTACAAAATTATTATTTTAAGTATTATTATTTATGTGTTTAAATACATTAAAATAATTTACATTGTAACATAATTTATTGTTATATAAATTTAATTTAAAAAAAATATATAGTAAAACATTTTGTATATAAAATATTAAATATATTCCAATATTTTTAAACTTATCCGGGTAAAACAAAAAAACTTAAGACTAAAATATATTTCTATATTTTTGGGAGAATTTAGAGAAGAACATAACAAATTTCAGTCTTTAAAATATTTTAAAGGGTTTCTAAATAAATTTCACTAACATCAAACTGCGTAATTTTTTTTTCTACATGTTTACATTTGGATAATTAGGCTTGATGGAAAAATTTTTAAGTCGATCCAGTCAAAAATATTCAAATCACAAGTAAGTAATGAAATATTTTAAGCCACATAAAATTAGCTATTTTTGGTTTTTTTTTTTGGAAATTTACTGTCAAATAAGATCATTTTTTCTATGTGCTAGGTAAAAATCACATGGAAACATATAATGCTATTTCAAATAATTTATTTAGAAACGTAATATAGATATTTAGAAAACTACGAAATAAAATAAAACAATTTATTTTTATAATAATTTAACAATTGTTAATATTTGGAAACAAAACGTCTTTTTTTAATTTAATTTAATGAAATAGATCGTCATATAAAATATAAAATTTGTGGCTATCTTATAATTTTTTATTAATGAGTATGTAAAAATTACATTTGATAATCAATTACTTTACTTATAATTAAAGTTAATTTAGTTAACTTAGTTAAAACCTTTAACAATTTTGTTAATTTTTAAAATTACATCTTCTAAGTATATTTTTAGAAAATTTATAAACTTACCATATATTTAAATAGGGATAACTTTATAGAGGTTGGGTGTTATAACCTTCGTACATTTAATAAAGTTATTTATGGTCTGTATTTTTTGAATATATTGTGGAATACTTTTACTCATAGATGTAATTTAGTCGGCAAATTTATCACCTTCAGTAAAATTTATTCCACACCCCCTAAAATTATCTTTAAGATTGCTCCTTTATTTAACTAATTGATAAATTAAATAAATAGTATGTATTTGTTTTTAATAATATATTCGTAAGGAAGCAATATAGCTCCTTTTCTATATTCGGTTTTGGTCATGATACTCCAAAATCATATTATGCAACCGTGGGAACTTACGCTGTTAACACCGACTCCAAAATTATCCACTGCTGGTCCACCCAATGGAAAGTAAAAATAAATGAAACAAAGTCCTATTTTATTACCTTCATCATAAAACAGGGTGATTGACTTTCTATTTCTTTCAATGATAAAATAATTCCCAACGCTAATGAAGTAAAGTACTTTGGGTTAGTATTACATAAGAAATATATTTAGTAGTCATATATTACAACTAAAAAACGTAAAACTGTTAACTCTCAGCTTCATCTTTTCCGTCCCCTCTTACGAACTAAACTGTCTTTAAACAATAGGCTAACTCTTTACAAAGCTATAATAATATCATAATATTATAGCTTACAAATCTAGGAATCGACTAAGCTCTCTAACCTAAAAACTATTCAGGCGTTTTAATCCACATGTCTACGCCAAATAATTTCTGCTTCATGGTATATCACAAACAACAACATCCACAAAGACCTGAGAATTCCAATCGTCAACCAACTAGCAAAATCCATTTACCTTTCTTTCCACTCTAAACTAAAATACCACAACTCATTTGTAAAGCAACTTTCCTGAAAATCCTCTCAGATGGTTAAATCGTAGCTGGGCAAGAGATCTTTTGAAAACTTAATAATAGTAATGAAAAAAAATATGTATAATAAAAACTAATTCAATGTAATAAGCTGTCGGGTGTCTCCGCTGGGTGTTTTTATTCAATACTATCATTCATGTCATAGTAAATAAATCTGTTATAATAATTGCTTATTGTACAGAAGATGTATAAATTGTAATTGTCTTATAAATAATAGAAAAAAAAGTATATTATGAGATTTTTTTTTTTTTGACAATTTGTATAAAATTAACTAAATACTTGTTGATGTATTATAAGACTTGCAAAATGAAAACTGTAAATATCATAAAAGTATATTCATCATAGATAAACAATTCATAATATATATGCTATGGAGATTCCATATTTAGTTAATAATATTACAAGTATGGAATTATATTATGTATTAGATAGTTAAAATATATAACATGATATGCACAGGTATAATCACTAAATATTTTGGCTGATTTACTCAAGGCCATATCTGGGATGGGTACGAGGATCCGGACCTTCCTTTCGGGAATTAAAACAATCCTATCTATTTTGTATAAAAAAATTAATTTTTAAAATGTATTATTGTTTTAATAACTTGTTAAATTATAAGAAATCATTTTGATGATTTTAATCATCTTATGTTGATCTATGAAATTTAATGTCATGTTTAAATTTTATTAAATAATAGTGAATATGGTATACTTTTGAATTAATTTAGTATTGATGAATTTTTTCTATTTAACTTAAACAATTTGTTTATTTTTTGTGAAAAATTTTAAAATTTACCAACGAAAAGTAAAAGTAGTTTATATGTAATCATAAATTGTATTTTACTTAGCACTCAAAAGTTAAAATAATTTCATTAAGTTTACAAAACCATAAACTAAAAATTACATCAAGGCAAATAAAAGTAGTTCTTATTAAGGATAAACAACAATGTAACTATAAAGTAAATAAAAAAAGTTTTGTTAATTTATATTAACTACTTTTTACTTCCGAGTGTTATATTAGGTACTTAAGAATGAGCTATTTAAAATAAAAGACAGTAATTTTTTCGATAAAAGTAATAAACGTGATAACTGTTTATGTAGAGCGAAGTAGAATGATATAAGTTGCACAATTTTATTATGTAAATGGCAATAAAAGATATCTAACTGTATACGTATCACGCTATCATAAATTTTAATAAACTTCTCGCATTAAGCTGATGAAACGATATACGACTTGCAGTTGTCTGTTCGCGGGGCAATAGACAAAACGGTTACTGTACAACAACCGCGAAGATCATATTTCTGGGTTGGTTTTACTCAGGACATTTGAGATATAGTTCCAAAAATAAAAAACCCCAAAACATTGCTTTTATCGTACTTGCAATAAAATCCACAAAACTTTAGGTGTAATTTATTATGTTAAATATTTTATGCAATACGACAGAGGAAATAAAATCAAGAACAAGTATAACTAATGGTCGGAGTAAGTTTCATTTTTAATGTTTACATTAATTAAAAAGATTTGTTATGAAAAATGGCGCAATCTCTTTTTTGAAAATGGCTTAATTAAATCAATTTGACTAAACTTAACGGAAGTGGAATCCTATTTATGTTTTTATTGATCGAATAGATTTAAATAATTTAAATGTATAATAATAATTATAAATTTTTACGTGAAATAAAAGTAAATTATACGAAATCATTTTGTCGGCGTTTTATGTGCTTTTGCTCGCAATCGAAGGTCACATATAAATATATAATGCATTTAAACAGACATGTGCTGTATTATGCATAAGATAAATTAAAAGTGCCATTAAAAGTCCAATCGTTGGTGAGGCGGAAGCTTCGTAGAAATTGTCTGATATAATCAGATTAGAATGAGAGGGCGGTGGTTGTACTTATTCGGCTGTAAAGTCTTAATAACCTTCTGCTACCATCGTTTTATATTTATACTGTATACGAACTTTATTCCGTTTTCTTTATTCATAATTTATTATCTTTGAAAATTGAAATTAACTGTATCCCTGATCATCCACAATTAATACTATACAGTAAGGCATAACACATTAAATACGTTATTTGATCTGTGATTGTTTATAAATACTTAATTAGTATTTGGGTGAATATTTTATTTAAAAAAAATGTCGAAAGAAAACTATTATTTACACAGATAATGGCAGGTTCAAGTTATATTTTCGGAGAGGCCATTTTACTATTGCTGATAATGTGAGATGGTTTGTTAGAACAAATGGAAAATCCACTACAAAAGTTACCTATTGTATAGTAATTTTTAAGTATTTTTTAGATTTATTTCAATATAAAAACTATTAAACGTATCATTAAAATTTAAAATGTTCAAGTCTTGCATTCGTTTACATTTTGTTGGAAATGTCTAATTGAAAATTTTATTCTTCTTATTTGCGATGCAAAATTATGTCTGTGTTTAAAATACCAAAAGGTATATAATCATATGTATTTTGTACGATAAAAAGTAACATGCAAGTAACATAATAATTTATTTTCAAAATCATCGTTCAGAAAATAAGTATTTCTTGTTATCATATGAAGAAATATGTCATTAAAATCAAATTAATTGGAATATAATATTGTTATGTACTGAGCCCGGCTGTTTTATCAAACTCGCAAAATACAATTACATATTTTTTAAAAACCCACGTTATTGTCGTTTGTTGATTATAGAATAAGAAAGTGCAAAGATAACTTTCTGAAAGTCGAAATTATTCGATAAATTGGATTTTTGTAAAAACGACACAGTATAACCGTTTTGATTTAGTGTCATTAGAAATATGTATTTAACACACGAACACACCCGACACAGATTTTCTAAACGAACTGTTGATGAAATTACCTGGAACGATGCGAGGACCGTTGGCTGTGGCTACACCCGAACCGTAGGTCACTTGCGATGGAGTGGCGTTAGACGATACGATGCTGATCTGTTCAAGGTCCGCTGACTGGCCATGGTACAGCAAACGTGTACTGCTTGTAGAAGTGGCCGGCTGAGTGTCCCCGGACTCACGTCGACCCGCGATACTCTGAACCAGCCGCATGGCTTGGTATCAGGTACCCTTTGCAGGACGGACACCACCGTAATATAAGCCGTCGTGGCATGGATCGCATAATGAGCGTGCAGCTTCACCAATCATTTATTTCGGGTTCGATCGTCATATCCGTCTCGCTGCTCAGTGCAAACTGATTCGGCTGTGCTGTTGCGAGCAAATTTATTTTCTTAGGAAATTTTTCAATTTTTACATGAAGACACGTCTCGGTGAACGTTCATTTTACAACCTGTAAACATTTAATAATATTAAGTATGTATAAAGAGTAAATAACTTTATTTTTAAAAAAAAAAAGAAGAAATTTCCTCGATTCATACTTTGTAACTTATGTAACGACTACCATTTTTTCAACAGCGTTGAGAGGTTCGAGTAATTTAAACGATGCAAAAACAATAAACATTTTTTTATTTTCCATATAGGTCGATTTTATTAATGAATGAACAGTTTTGAAGAGTTTTTCGACTTTAAACGTTTTTTTTATTGATTTACATTTTGATGTAACCTTCGTAATATTAATAAATATTATTTCTCTGGAAAATTCTATATAATATTAATGTAAAAATATTTATAATTAACTAAGACAAAAATTTTAATTCATTATTAAATGCTGAATAATTGAATTTTACAGTGAATGAACATTTAAGGATATTGTATTAAAAACTGTGATATTCAGTAGGACTTATTTTAGATGTTTTATTTGTTTAAAATTCTATTACAACTAATTGCAATCAGATTAGACAATTTTTTAGTGATTTAGTACAAACTCAGTGATTTTCGGTCACTGTTAAAGTTCGCTCACTGATGATATTGCCCCAGATTGAATTTAACAGCTTGCTTTTATAATAATATTTATTATGAAAACCATCGATTTTTTACATTTTATTTTAATGAAAACGCGTCACGAGTTATATATTTAAAAGCGCGTGTTGGGTTATAGTAATTCACATTAGCAGTCAAAAGACAATAAAATCGCATTACTATCTATATGACAGTTTCTTCATTTACTATTTATGAACTCACGGAGTTTTATGATAAATTGAATGCCTGTTCAGCAGCAGTTAGACGTATAATGTGTTAGTCGATCGGACGTTCCTATATTGATTTATCTAATTAAACGCATAAATCACATCACGGTTGGGCTTTTCCTTCTCTGGCGTCAAAATGACAGTATCCTTTTAAATCTCTCTAAACCCCTTTTGAAATTAATCAAAATCCTGCGTGGCTTTGAGTAAATGATGTAGACAAAACGACTAATGACGGAAGTGTTTTTCGGATGAAGTTAACGTTCGGTGACTCATTTTTCATTTAAGTTTCTCGTGTCTATAAATAATAAACATTGGATGGCAGTATTGTATAATCAATTCTCATCCAATTCTATATTATAGAGAGAAATAAAAAAGTTCTATAAAAGTCAACATCCAATACCTCTTATGTTTATCTAAACTCAACAATGGTTTACCCTTTAACTATTAAAATAACTAATAATATTGGAAGCACAAACATTGTGATAATAGTAATAAATAAAATGTTTCGAAACTCAATTTTAAGGAAAGGCTTTCCATTGAGTATTCCAAAAACGGTAATATCATAGTAAATATCTATATTAACCGCTACTAAAATGTCAAACTTGATTTTTTTTTTTAAATCTATAATATATTATCAGGATAATAGCTTTTAAGAAATGCACTTTTTAAAGTTATTCATTTTTTTTTCTTTTTGTAAATTTTAATTATCTTTTAAAAATATCTTTAGAAAAAAATATAATAATTTCATACTTTTTAATAAAATACCATTTGAAATAGCCTTAGGCCAATTCAATTTTTTTACGTGGCAATTTGTTAGTTTGTTTTAAAGAATAAACTTTTTAGATCAATTTAAATTCAGTCTTTTAAACCAGAATGTCAGTGAGTTGTCTAATAATAGTTATTGGTAATAAATTATTCAGAACTTTAAGTCTTCTTGTTTAATACTACTGTAAAAGTTTGTATGCGCGTGGAGTTCAAATGGTTTACAACTTTCAATCTTAGTTTTAGTTAAGAAATATTATGCGAACAATGAAAATAACGAAAAAATTTAAATGTTTTTACTATAAATTTACTTCTTAACATTATCAACAACATTTATGTATGGTCAATAAAAAATACATTCTCAACTACATATTTTAACAAGTAGATGGACATTTCAGAAACCTAATACAATTGATTTATTATTAAATCATTTATTTTTATTTTCGGGCAGACATTTTATTTCATATTTCCAACTGTCGAAATATTTATGAATTTATAAATTTTAATTTTTTGACAAAAATGGCAAAGTATAAATTTTTAAATGTGAAAACATTCTAATTTAGATAATAATATGATTAAATAGTCACAAATTTATTTCATAATAAATTTGATTTTTTAGAAAGTAGTATTTTTATTCTACTTTTAAATTTATTTAGGGCGGCAACATTCTAAAATTATCTAAGATAACGATAAATAATGAAATAAAATATAAATATCATTATAAGTTTTCTAGATAATTTTTTAATAAATATCAAATATCAAATGGAATTATTTTTATAAATGAAATAGAAAATAATTTTGAAAACTCGAGTTTTGTGATTACAAACTTATACTATACAAGGTTGTTTATTCATCTAACACACTGAATGACTGCAGAATAAAAATTATTTCCCCACTATTATTTTTAGCTTTTTTTAGTTAAATATATTTAGTCTCGATAATTCGTCATTTGATAGTACATAGATAATTGTCTGTCCCTTCAAAATATCTCCGTAATTTGAAGAAAAAAAAATATTTTAATATATTCGAATTCAATATAATTTGAAGTAAAAATATATAATGAACAAACCAACAACTTATGATAAGTTTAATATAATATTAGTTTAAAATATACAATTTATGTTATTAACTAAATTTTGATCGGGAGTAATAAAAAATTTTATTTTGTGTTAACTATTGACTACATACAACTAGTAAAACTAAAATAAAATTGAAATTTTAGTTTAGTTCAGTTTTATTTGGTGTAAACCAAACATTATTATATGAGTGTATGTTAAATACACGTCTTGAACAATATCAAAAAAAAAAAAATATCAACTGAAGCAGTTGACAGAGATGACAAAAAATCTGTCGTAGTCATTATTTAATGTTTTTTTTTAAGTATACTATCTATGATTTGATGGTTTTAGATTGCTCAAAAAATTAACATAAACCTAACATATTTTGACAATTTTAGTAATGGTTGACGGAATGAAAAAATTAACTCTTTGAACAATATTCATTTGTTTTCAAAATTGGTATTTGCCTCGGACCACCAGTAATCTGGAACTTTTTTTTACGATAATATAACTTATAACAATTTTGTTAACATATGATGACAATAATGGAGATATAAATATAAAAACTTAGACACCCTTTTCTAGTATCATTAAAAGAAACAAGTTCATCATTAAATAAACTACGAAATTTTGCAGTCAAGGTTTTCAAACCATTTCATTCTATTCAAACTGTTTTATTTTAGTTCAATACTTAAACATATTTTTCTAATAAAGAATTACTGTTACTGTATCATTAATCACAGACTATTGACAATCAACATCCTTAGTATAAAAACACGTATCCGCACAAATCTATTGGCAACTTTTCAATACTTACGAAAATCCCTCTCTATCTTGCTTAGACCTATTTTTGTTTTTTTTTTTTTGAAGAAGTAGAAGACAGATGTTCAGGAAAGAATATACGAATATGTTGTATAGTAACAGTAAAAAATTTTCGTGATGAAAAGGCTATGATAGAGCGTTGTCGGGACACTTAAAGTATTGCAAAATTTGCCAAGAATCATCAATCAACATTTTTTTAATGCAACTGATTTAGTCGGAAAACATTTATGATGTGAAGAACTTCGATATCACATATTGTATTTGAACTCCATTAATGATTGTTATGCGTGATAAATAGTTTTAAACGTTATATTAGATGGTCATAAAAAGCTATGCACTGTAAAAATATATTATGAAGGACAAGTGTTGTGAAAACCTTGTTGACCGACTTGCAGGTTACTAGTAATTAGTAACGTTGTAATTATTACAACTTGTGCGTCATAAGATATACTCGGAAGAATTGTTTTAGATAAAATACTTAAAAATTGCAGAAATACACTTTACAGATGTATTTTTCAATTAAAATTTTTAAAGGTGAATTCCCTTTTTTGTTGCATTTTTATATAAATAACTCGAAAGAATAAAAACTCTAGTTATTGCTATAACTATAGATAATATAATCATTAATTTAGTAAATTTATAACTAAAATATTCAGACGCATATGAGGTAACTTTAGTCTAAAGTAAACATTTTTAATTTGTAAAAAATATTCTGATAATAGGAATAAAGTACCAATAAATTATAGCTACTTAAAAATAATTTTGCCCTCCAAATGACAAAAAAAGTGACACTTAATATCAACTTAATGTTTTCCTTTTATTTTTCAAAAATACAAAAAGTTATCTGCTAATGTATGATTATTTAATTTATTATTTAAGTACTTATAAAAAACATTTAGAAAAATAATGTATAAATGGAAACTTCGTATACTTTTAGAATTTATTACGTTGGATTGCAGCCAACAAATATCATCCATAATTATTTTAGAGGAAAAATTTGAGTAAAACAACTTGCAAAATAAAAATATAATAAATATTAATTCAATGTACAATTAAAAATTTAATAATTAAAATTATAACAAAGGCTGCAATACTTCTAAATAAAATGTTTAATAACAAAATAATGAAACTCCCATTTTAAAAAAATTGGAATATGACACATCATCAGCAGGCTAACCCCCTTCAAATGACTTAAAGATAGGTATGACAAGGGGCAAGGAGTGGGGCACTGCTAATGTTCCCGCACGGTGACTAATTCGACCATCAGCTCAGCTGGACATCAGTGTTTCAGTGATGACTGAATATGATAATACGCCACATTATACTCTTTATTTTTTACCATTGTAACTTTCAAAATATTTTGAAATTTTAGAGTGTACATTAATAGTATGGTATTTCAGATAAATGTACAAGGGCATATAAGCATCAAAGTACCCTACAGCATATCATAAATAAACTTTTAGTCTATTTCAATTTTTTATCATTTTGTTCATCGTCCTTTTTTACATACTTTTGAGATCTATTCATTTACCAAAAGTATAGAAAAGTTCAGTGATGTGAAC